ACTGACCAGATATATAGCTGACAGACACATCAAAAATATAGGGTGTAAGCAACAGTATCATATAACAAGGATATAACTGCCTGGATTACAGAGCTGATAGGGGTATGAATGGATAGGGTGTAAGTGAAATCCCTGCATGACAAACAAAAGATAATCTGGATATAAAGCTAATGAAACAAACAGGCTGTGAGTGACAATTCCTAAATTGGCTATCAGCCTATCTGGCTGTACAGGGCTCACAAAACTGTGGATAGTGTGTGAGTCATGGCCTTGAAATGATCAGCCCATGACTGCCTGAATCTAGAGCTAATAAGGATATTAAATAAAATAAGAGTGTGAGTCCAATCCTGACTCCTAAAAAGACAATTATCTAGATACAAGACTGACAAAATAGACAGCCTGTAAGTAATGGTCCCTTATTTTAGACCATGCAACAACCTGGAAAGAGGATTGACAGTCGTGAAATACATAGGAGGTAAGTAATTGTTCATTTATTTCTAACTTGAAGTACAACTTTTATGGACATAGAGCTAATGAGAGAAAATGGATTTAACAGTGTGTGAGTTATGATCCTTGATAAAATGAAAGTATAACTCCCTGAATGTCGAGCTCATATAAATGTGAAATGAATAGTGTGTAAGTATGCCAAAAACTCCTAATTTCAGTCCAGAGCTGACAGATATGGAAAATGGATAGGTTGTAAGTGATCTTCCTGAATGATGAGAAATATATGTACTAGATATGGTGCTGATACAAATATGCAATGAATAGTGTGTAAGTAATGGGCGTTTATAACTGCTTGGATACAGAGCTGACATAAGATAAATGGACAGGGTGTAAGTGACGATTGCTTGGATAATACGGCTATCTGGATATGAAGCTAATGCAGAGCAAAATCAAAAAATAGCTTGTGAGTGATACTCCTTCAACAAAAGTATATGACTATATACACAGAGTCCTAACAGGACATGGAATAATAGGAAGTAAGACGTCCCTTGACAGAACTTTTAATACAACTGGCTAGATACAGAGCTGATGGAAATCTAAAATTAATAGGGTGTAAGTCATAAACTTTGAAGGATGTGACTACATAGACAGAGTGCTGACAGAAGATGAATAGTATGTGAGTAATTATTTTTGATAATAAAAACAGTACTCCTTCAACACAGAGCTAACAGAGACCTGGATAGTGTGTAAGTCATGATCTTATTTCCAAGAGTATGATTTTTCAGATACAGAGCTGACAGAGTCCTGAATATTTAGGGTGTGAGTAAGCCTCCTTAATAATAAAGAATATGACTACTTGGAGACAGAACTGATGTAGATCTCGCCAGTGTGTAAGTGATAATCTATTTCAAGAGTTAACTTTTAGAATGTAAGACTGACAGATGCATCTAATAAATAGGGGGTGAGTGATGGTCTTCAGCAACAAGATTATGACAGCCTACCTAGATACAGGATACAGAGCTAACAGCGACATGGATAGTGTGTAAGTGATGATCTGTTTTTAAAGGAAAGGATGGCTTGAATTTGAAAGCTAATACTTCACTGCTAGTAACCCCAAAAATGTAAGAAACAGTTTAGACAGCTTTCAGGCAAGAGAGATATAAAGAGTGTGTTGACAATCACATATAGGATGGCAAAAAATTCGCCTCATCCAATAGGGGCTTTCGTCTAATGGATCAGAGTTGGACCATGGGAAGCAATATTGTGGATTGGCTCTCCTCTTACTGCCTGAGATTGATGCGATGATAAAAAAAGACTTGATTGTCAAGGATGTATTTGGTTTCCTTTCAAGATGCCTTGGTATGGGTTTTTCCCCTTTTATACAAGGTTTTCCCCATACTGTGATGCGAATGCAAAGGCAATAAAATAAATATATCTATCGAACTGCCCAGATTGATCTCCAATAATTATTCCCAGCACTGAGGAGAGAAGTTCTGAAAGTTGTAGACAGAGTAGCTGTCATATATGATCATACATGCTGGACCCGCCCAAACGATCTGAATCCAAGAATAATGCGGAATCAAATTGATCAAGGTGTGCACCTGTGAGGTGCCTCAACCTCTAGACTGTGGCAAAATACTTGGCCTTTTCAAAGGGGCATGTCGTGATCGGCTGACCTTGGAATGTCGAACGGTCCAGTTCCAAGAGCATTTGCATGTAGCAAGTTTCGACTATTGACACAGAGTCACTCCGAGTCAAGCCTGCTTCCTTGTCTCCAGTTGATGGCCGTCCTGCTTTGACAACCATTCTAGTTCAACAGCCATCTAGAACTTCCATGAATTCCAGTTTTGAGCTACTACATAAATTCAGTTATATTTGCCAAAGCTGTCACAGCTAATAAACAAGCTTGCAGGTTCCCCGAGCGAGCTCTATATGTTTCATCGACGATAAATGGACTCCTCTGCACGTATTCGTGCAGGCAAATCCACAGGCCCATTCCAGATTAGAGATTTCCATTTGGTCCTCCTCGTTGAGTCCATCTTACTCTCCAAATCCTGCTGTTGTGCTCGAGCCTGGCATGGGGATGGGCTTCTTGTCATCATAGCGGTAGGAATCTCTGATAGAGCTGCGTCGTAGGAGCGGGAGAGTTTCAAGGTTTGGTCTTGTTTCACGTCTCTCCACCAACCACTGCTTTGGACTAGCTTGTTTCGTGGTTCTGCAGAAGACGAACGCGCAGCAGGCCTCGATGACAGCTGCCCTTCTGCAGCTTTGCTTGTTTGACTGCCAACAGATGCGAGCCTTCTTCCATACTGCTGCTGCTCCAACAGTGCAGATCGCGCAGCCTCTTGCTGGGCGAACGTGTCGTTAATACGCGCCCCGATATAGTCTTTGATTACGGCCTGTGACATTGTCAACCACTAAACCAGACGACGCAAAAACGAATGCCAACCTTGTACGGAGTGATATCAAAGTCCACAGACTCCTGGAGACATTCGAGAATACGCTTTTCAGATATATGATTCAGGTCACTCGCAGCAAGGATCGAATCAATGACCTTAAAATAGGATGGGTACTTAAAATGGAGCGTGAAGTCATCCTCGGACAGTACTAAAGATGGTATCAGTCACTATTTATTCCATCCCTGTTTGTCAGCTGACTAGGGATTCAGACCAAAGTAAGGTGTTCTGATGTCTGTAACAGTTATCGCAGGAATCCTGGCATCCATCATTCTTGGCTCTGCCTCGTCTTCAGCTGACCGGCGAGATGTTTTACTCTCTTTTAACCTCTCACTTGGCAGCAGTGGAACCACTGGGACACGCTGGCGAATGCTCGTGGCGGGCTGCTGATATTCTTCCTGTGGCTGTTCTGTCTTCTCGGTAGCAGGACTCTGCCCAACAATTTTTTTTGGCTGTCAAGGACCCCTCATCGTGGTCCACAACAGGGAATAGAATTTCACCAATCCGTTCTGAACCTTTGGTGTCAGCTTCCACGCCTACAGGCTTTTTGTCGCTAACTTCGACTGGAGCGTCTTTCAGCCACGGCAATTCCAATGCCCCGATTGCTGTTGGACGCTCATGAGGCCTGGGGCGGAGAAGAGTGCCAATGAAGTCGATTCCGTCTGGAGAAATTGACTTCTCTCTGAGAGCCTCAATGGGTAAGCTTGATTTCCCATCATAGAAGGCTTCCAGGTCCTTTCGACTAAGAAAGGGCCGTTTCTTGGTGAGCATTTCGAAGACAATGATGCCGAGAGACCACAAGTCGACGGCATTGGTATACACATATGAGTCCGCCTCGGCACGATCTCGCACAAAGACACGCATCTTGGGGGCGCAGTAGTCTCTTGTGTTCATCTTGGTTGTGTGTAGCACTGTGTCATCGGTGACGCGTTTCGAGATTCCAAAGTCGCCTATCTTAAGCCACAAATCTGGAGATGGAGAGGCGATGAAAATGTTCTGCATGCACCCTTAACATCACACGAGTCTCTCCTTTTTCTTTTACCGAGATACTTACACTCGGTTTGAGATCGCGATGTGCATAATTGTCCTTATGCATAAAGTCGAGTCCTTCGAGAAGCTGGCGAGTCGCCTGCCTTGCTTCCTCCTCTGACATGGGACTGCTCCTGGCCTTGAGGCAGTCGTATAATGTATCGTGTGGGAAGTATTCCATGGCGAGGAAGAATGAGAAAAGTATTGGTACCAGCCGTAGAATTCTGCGAAGCGAGCAGAATGCTGGGAAATGTCAGCGTCCTATCACCCATTCAAGCAAGCAGACCGTGTCGTCGGAAAAAGATATGCTCCAGAACGAGTTTCAACTAACCGCTATCGACCACAATGTCTTCCTCAAGCAAAAGCCCAGAGGCGAATATCTAGGACGCATACCTTGGAGAACTTGGCGATCGCCCTGATCTCCTTCAAATGATCCATCTGAATACACTTGTCCACCTCCTTAACTGCCCTTACTCGTCCTGAACTCGTTCGCTCTAGCCACACCTTCCCATACGCTCCACGGCCCAGCCATCGAGTCCGTTCCCATCTTTCAGTCAGCTTCTGGTTCCGGCGAGTGATGAGATGCTCTGTATACGACTCTGTGACAATGGCCTGCAGCCGGAAGAACTCGAGGAAGTCGTCCATATCCGAAGAATGCAATGAACGCGGGAAGGAGGCCTAGGGCCGGAGGCTCGAGGAGAGGAGATCTGTGTTAAGAACTTCAGCTGGGTTTGTAAATAATTGAAACTTGTTCTTCACCTTCTGAATGAAAGTGGGGGATCTTTCTTGCAAGACTGGCGATCATGTGGTGCAAGCCCTGTCTCTCATCCGTTTGTTGTTCTGACGAGTCTCATTGCTAACCCATGGGTAACTATAGTTTCCTATTATGTACAAAAGAACAATTTACACATGTGCATGACACCATTTCCAATATTTCACAAGTCCAGTTCAGGAAGAAACCTCTGGCGCGCATTGCTATGCGGGAAGGCGGGACAGCCTTGCTACTTGTGAGGCTGAGCACAGGGATTAATTGCCCATCTTCCCCTCAGCTGGCATCTGTGTGAAAACTCAGAAGCAAAGCCCATGTTGGGCATCCACGGTCTTTTGAATTTCCACTCTACAGTTCTGGACAATCCCATATATATAGTCTGGAACCGCGAGCACCTGTTTTTTGTTTGGAGTCCTCTTGTGCATCTGTGAAAGTCAACAGTCAAGCCAGTCATGGAGAGTGCTGGCCTTGCGCTTGCGGTCGCATCCAGTGTGGATCTCTGTCTTAAGTAACACAGATTTTGCGACCTTTGTACAAGCAGAAATATGAAATGCCTCGACTACTTGGGCGACTTCCAGCACTTGGGACAGTTGTTGTTCATGTCGATTGATGGCGCAAACAAGCTCTAACGTAATGATACATACAGGTATGGCGGTCAACTCGTATCCTGCTGCCAAGCGTACAAGAATGCAGAACTGGAAGTCAGCGAAGCAATGCTCACAATCGAAACAATCTGGCGCACCATGCAGATGCAAATCGAGATCCTTAAGGAGCACTGGAGTGACCTACCGGGGGACCTCACGAAAACTCACTCCTGATGGTCCTCCAAACGAAAATCCAACTTGCGATCGTCACAATAGAGAGTCTAACAAAACAGCCTCGTTCCACCGATAACGACAGCAGAAGGACCAAGGGAGCGCACGGACGTGTAGAAAGGCCAAGTACGCCATATCGGGAGACATCCTCTCGAGGAGGTCGTCGAGGAGATGGAGAAGTGGCAAGCCAGATTCGACCGGTCCTGGTTCATGATCTCGATGGTGCATTCGCCATCTCTCGACAGATCGATCGCTCAGAATTCCGCCAGCCTGAACCCGCTAGTCGTGCAGATGCGAAATCTGCGAAGAGCGGCCACAGTCCCCGGTGATGACAACGCCGTAGTTCAGAGCGCAAACCCGACAACCTCGGTATTTATTGACGCAGTGGAGATTAATTTTCTAGACGAGGACTCAATTCGCTACTCAGAGGCAGTGCTGGCCGTACGGAAGAGGGCGGATGGACAGTAGGAGCACGTCTTGGTCGATAATGATCCACGTCGAAGAGAGATGTTCGCAATCTTGCTCGGAAATTCGCCGACATGGATCCCCGCATTGTGCACCTCCTGGCCTGTGAGGGTGTTGTGGAAGGCAAAGGACACAATGGCCAAGATCCAAGATTTCAATTCGTCTTCAAACTTCCTGAGGGCTCCAGCCGGCCACAATCTCTCCGAACCGTGCTGATGACTCCATGCTCAACCTACTTGCTGAGTGAACGGATTGATCTGGCAGTCTCGCTGGCGAGAAGCCTCATATTCCTTCACAATTCTCACTTCGTGCACAAGAACATCAGACCCGAGACAATCATTCTTCTCACAGACGACCACTCGAAGAAGGATCGACTCGGCAAGCCGTTCCTGATCGGCTTCGAGGAGTTGCGTTCGGAGGATTCCTACACTTTCCTGCGTGGAGACGATGTTGCGGAACGGAACTTTTATCGACATCCTCACCGGCAGGGACTTGTTGCGCAGGAGAGCTACAATGTTTGTCACGATATATACAGTCTAGGTGTCTGTCTGTTAGAGATTGGACTGTGGACTTCCTTCGTCCGTTATTCTGATGGTGAAGTCGGAGAATCATGGCAAGAAATCAGTAGACTGTTTCGATCTGAACTTAATCTCGACAAAACGGGTAGGAATTTTCCCGATTGGCTTGGTGTTGCAATTCTCTACTACAATGTTTCTGACAATTCTAACTTGCCACTCTGTCAAGCAACTGGATGGGGATATTGTAGACTCTGGAGCTACAAAAGAATATAACAGAATAACACTGGGGTCAAAGAGTAGTGGCTGTCCTTGGAGTTGCTTTCGTCGTTGTTGTGAATCGTTCTTTACATGTATTTCATGTGCAGAATTTGAGGTTGTTTTCGCGAGATATTGATTGATTGCGGCATAACCTTCATCGTAGTTTTGCTGTAACTCGGTCCTTTTATTTGAGCGTACATATGGAGCAGTAAAGCGTCCTTCTCCAGCGAGGCTAGACATTGCCCCCTAATAGGGCCTTCAACAGCACTTGACCTCTTTCATCCAGGTCGGGATACAAATGAAGAGAACATAAGATAGGCGGAGACAGATGACTCGATAAAAAAAATTAAAGTAGATGAACTATCTAGAAACCTAGCCAAAATTCCTTTGCTTCTGGATAAGGCTGTGAGCGTTCCCGTAGTAAAGCCTTCCATTTCCCACCTGCGACTGTATTTCATGTGGAGAGGTCGAAACTGTTGTCGAATATTGATTTCGACTTCGTCCTTATTACTTCATGTCACTCGGTAAATTTCAACTGAGCGTACATATGAGACAGTATGAGTCCTTTCTGGTAGGACCGTCAAAGTGAATCCCCATCTTAAACGTCCTGTTGCGCCTCGGAAATTACCCACAAATGCAGATGCAACGTGGGAACAAGTCCGTCATTTCCAAATCATATAGAGGAAGCTGCCAGTGGTGGTTGTCAGTAATGCTGGAAGACAGAAGTATTCATACGCATACCGTATAGGATACCTTTATGCTTATCATTCTTCCTCCATCTTGAATTCCTCGTCCAATTTCAAATATCTGGCAGATCGATGATAAATAAAGCCCCCTGTCAAGTACCTCTGCATGACATACCCCACTGCACCTTCTTCGTCTTGCATTGCTTTCCATTCCCTCCAGTCTTGTTCATCCTGATCCTGCCTGCGGAACTTGCACAACGCGAAGTCAATCATAAATACTTTAAAGTGACTGCCAACCGGTTCCTTGTGCACAATGAAATTCCTTGGTTTGACATCTTCGTTGAGGGTGTCTCGATCCCCGATGATGTTCACAATACGAATGGCATCTTCACAGATATTTTGCCATGTCTCTTTCGGAGCATACGAGGCGGGATCGGTTAAAGGAAACCCTTCAATATACTGTAAGAGAATCCCAGGACAGTCAACATACTTGCTAACTGCCATGCTCTGTGAAGAATACCCTGGCATTGTGACGCGCCCAAGAAAGAGTGGAACATCTCTTCCTTGGATATCTTTCAGCCTTTTGTACTTCAGTTTCTGCTTCATAGAGTTTCTGCATGTAGTGATAGAGATATGCTTCATTTTGAGCAGCATTCTAGGTTTCTCCTTCTTTTTCAACCATGTTGTCATTGGAGCGCAATTTTGTGATAAAGTCTGACGCACTGCCATCCAGGATAAAATTGCTGGTATTTCCGCTCAATTTCAAAGGTCCAGGGTTGGATTTTCTCATTTTTTTGCAGCTGAGTTGCAAAGCGCCGGTCGTAGAGCTTCAAAATCAAGTGCTCCTTTAATCGAAAACATGGTAATTCCAGCACAATGACCATTACAGACGAGAGTGTAAACGGTTTGAAAACTTTGATAATTGTGCCTTTCACAACCTGGTGTTGGGTTGGACATGATTCCGTTAATTGCAATGTTACATTGTTGCCCACAGCATAGGGACATCTTCACTCTATCAATACATGATCAACCAATAGTAATTAAGCTACTCACTTCGGTTCTTCATGTTCCATTTCGATTTGTGGAGCGAGATAGATTGGTGTAGACAAAAGAAGGAAATTGTATAATGTGAAGGTACTTGATACCTAAACGACCAGTAAGCTCTTTTCTGGCGAGGTGAAAATCTGATAATTACTGGGCTTCTCAACCTCCCTGACGGCATTGTACGCCAACATCCTCGGCAACTCGCTCATGGACAACATCGAGAACGTACAAGCCACGCAAGGAGTGAACAACGCCAGCAGTCTCGCTGGCATCGAGGCCGTCCTGACGGCGATCATAGACGACGCCATGGTTGCTTTTGCCTCGGCCCAGATCATGCTGCTGCAAGACACTGCTCCAACTCCCGTCGTAATTCAGTCGCCCGCCTACGCCTTCGGCACGCCGCGGTATATCTATACTGTCATGTTCATCTCCATTGTTATCACGACGGGGTTCTTCGTCGAGGCGTTGCGCACACGGGACTGGCGGAGGCTGTCCAAGTTCGACTTCATGGACGTGAAGAGCGTTATCGTCGCCGCGTCCGGGGGAGGGACGGCGAAGGAGGCGCAGAAACTGCATCACTCACAGGGGAGCAGATGGCATGCGGCTTCCGATGATGAACTGGTTGGGAGCATTTATGTGCGGTTGGAGAGGGGCGAAGAGGGAGGTGTCGCCGTGTCGCTCTCTGAGCGACGACGGCCCAGAGTTTATACTGGGTTGGTGGGCATGAGCGCAGATGATTTCAGCACGGTTCCTTTGAGAGAGATGGCACAGCCGATGGGAGAGAGCTAGAAGATAAGTACGGGGAAGTCATCAATTGCTGGGTGGGATTTCGCGACAGGTAGAATGCAGATATGTACTGTATACGTATTATAGAAAAGGAGGACACGAAGCTACATTTTTGGTGTTGTATGGAGATTTCACACAAGATGTATAACATCGTCATAATAGGCATATCTATATCAGACTCATACTCAAAGCATTTAATAGAGATATATAAATACAGCTTCCAATACAAGTATATAAATTATATTATATTAGATATTATCTTTCTGTACGAAGTGGTCAATTATAGGACACAGGCTTGGGCCGATGCTAAACACCCCTGAGACATGTCGATTCGTATTTATACCATCCACTAGATTTTCTTCTAAACAGCCACCTACTGCTCTCGAATGCAATCATAAGCAGTGTTCTTTCTAGTGTTCCTTCTTCATACCCCTACCTTTCCCCATACATGCGACTTTATTGAAAGTCACGGTATCTGAAAGCAGAGCATCTCGATACATCCACATAACAGCGATGCTCTTAATATCCCAGACCACTGTCAATTTCTATGGTTTGGAATCGCTATTGTGCAATTCCTGCTCTTCTGCTACCCTGTATTCTCGTCGCAAAATATGTATATATTCCAGTTCCCTCTAACCAGACAAATCAAAAACCTGAACCCATTAGCAAACGCCCAATAATCCCCGTTTTTGGTCTCATACCTGGATAGAAGCAGTCTTATTACGCATTACTGCTGCAACACATCTTTGACCATCGAACCTCACCTGCCATACCCCGTCCAAGTCTGTGAGGAGGTCTCGCAAGCGTTCTCCCGTGCGCACATCCCACAGCGTAAGATCCCGACCACTTCCAGCAATGACTTTGTGGCCATCATGCTGAAAACACGTAATCGCTCCCGTCTGACCACGGAGGACCTGCAGGCATTCCCCAGTATCGGGATTCCAGATCCTCAACGTGGAATCTGCAGATCCTGACACGAGGAGGTTGTCCCGTAAATCCAGGAGACTGACAAGCGAGGTATGGCCCTCGAGGTTGTAGACCAACGACCCCGTGTCCAGCGACCAGACTTTGATCGTGTTGTCCATTGATCCGCTGATACAGCGGTTTCGCTCGTGGTCGAGAACCACGCTGTAAATGTTCTTCGTGTGGCCTTGCAGTTTGTGTACACTCTCTCCGGTCGAGATTCTCCAGACTCGGACGGTGCAATCGTAGCTCCCGCTGACGACCGTATCGTCATGCGCTGCAATCGCGCGAACTGTTTTTTCGTGGCCGCTGAGCACATGGATCAAGTACGGACAATCTGTATCACCTGGTTCCTCGTCGCCTGGCCGGGGCAGTCTCCAGACGCGCAAAGTGGAGTCTCGCGAGGCCGAAACAATCACCGGCATCGCCCTACCTGGCGACGGTGGAACAATCTGTATACATCGCACAGTCGACGAATGGCCGTGGAAGACATGCGTGCATTCCGCCCTTGCGACATCCCATACCCGGACTGTCTTGTCCGTGGATCCTGAAACAAGAGTGTTGCCGTAGATTCCAATACCCCAGATGCCGCCTTCGTGTCCTGTTAATGATGCCCGCAGAGTGCCGGATTTGATGTCGTGTACTTGGATTGTCCCGGCTTCGCTCGCAGTGAGGATCTTGTCGTCGTCGAATTCGAGACATGTGATGATGTTGCGGTCATGGGCTGAGATGGAAAGGTGGTTTTGTACGGCTTGAGAATCCATCAGGTAGACAAGAACTTGGACTGATAATGAAGCAGGTTCTGGAGTAAGTGTTATTATACAGCTGAGTGAATGAAATGCTGCAGCCTAATTTGGCAACCCCACGTGGGGTCTGAAGATCATTAATTTTAACTAATCACGAAAGTATTCTAACTCAGCTGCATAAATTTATCTCTTTCCACCAACCTACAGAATGTAGCTCTGCATATACTGCAAGCTACATTTTATGTATGGTGGATGTGGATAATGAAATCGTACGAAGCATCAGCACAACAGCTTTGAATCCCGTTTCCACAAATGCAGGAGTTATTGGCATTTAATATGGTAATACATGCCAGATTGAGAATGTCGAAATTTTGTGGCTCCTTTTGTATCATAGTATCCTTTGATTTAATGGCCATAAACTGCACCGTTCCCTCCAATATGGAAGAAAGTGTGCTCAACCCCAATCAGCATACAGTCGAAGTTAAAAACCCTAAAAAGGTCTGTTTCAGCCAGCTAATCCACCAACCGAACATCTCACAATCGAGGCAAAGACCGAGTCTGTCACTTTGAGCGAATTGGATTTCCTCTCTCAGGCTGCATACTGCTTGGGTACACTCTCACTGGTTGCACCACATCTGCATGCCGAGGCAGTTCGGAGTAAGGCGGTGCAGGAGGTGCAACCGGTGCAGAAGATGGTCCTCCGACAATTGAGCTCGATGCTGAGCTCGATGAAGAGTCGCGATCACGTCGTCCTCGTAGTAGTCGTTTCTGAACTCGGAACCAGAAATATCCTCCCACGACCGCGAAGACGATCAAGACGACGACGATGATGGCTATGACGTGGTTCTGGCGAGCCATGGCTGGTGCGGTGCATTACATTCACATCTGGTATCCAGGAGTTTTGCGTGTCAAATATCTTGCGTATAGACAAATCTTAGCTGTTGTCATGTTTTTGGATGATATCGATGAGGGTCAAAAACGAGTCACGATCACTTGTCGGTAGGTACTCTCATATAGACATCCTAGATCAGTTCCGGGCTTGAATCGAGAGCACAAATGGCCATTCTGCAATTAAGAGGATGGAGCTTTACGAGGAAATTCAATGATTTTTGGCTGTTCTAAATACAAATCAATAATAATCTACTACAGGAGGCTGGCATATTTACGGCTGCAAGGTCGGAGTCGACAAGGCTCATGGTGCTAAATTCAATGGAGAAAATCTCTATTGGATCGAAATTTGGCGTGAAGAAGGAATAGTCGAGAGCAACACGACAGATACAAAATGTCGCATCATCTCTGCAGTATTCCGGTCATTACACTCTGCTGGAGAGCCTCGAGGGTTCTAGCGTTACACAGTCCTTTATATCAGTATTAGTCAAAGCTAGTGATGACAGATAAAGCTGCGCAACCCTGTCCAGAATCCTTTGACTGCTTTTTTCTTTTCTGTCTTTTTTTTCTCCCGAATTCTGCAATCAATGTGTTACTGTATGCATGCACATGCATCTCTGCTCTGTGGTCGGAGGTTTTAATCCGGACTGCAAGGCCCTTACCAGTGTTTTTCTCCGTTAACTACAAAGTAAAGCTGAAAAAGGACCTTGACAGGCTCAAGATTTACTTGCCATGTATGGTAAATACATGTAAGGGCGGCCTACACAGATTTTTCCATCGCCTCATAGCATTCCTTATTGTACGCCAAAGAAAACTCGAGTGTCCAGACTGAAAACACCGACATGAACAATGTATTTCTCCAATACGTCATCCATGAACCTCTTCTTAATGTTCTCGAGGACTTATATTGGGTCGACCTGGTATATATCGTCCCGGTCTTGATAGTTCATGAACTGATCCTGCAGATGCTTTGAAAATATGCTGTTAAATAGGATTCTGCTTCACGGCAGCAGAGTCCAGAGTCACTTATTTAAGGACATTAATGGGCTATATGTGGCCTCCCGTGTTGCTCGATACTTCTTAGGTAGTTGATCTTGAGCTTTTCAGGTCCATACACCATATGCAAAACCATCAGACTCCATCACAAAAGCGAAGTGAAATATTGGAATACAGAGTATGGGGATGCCACTGCGAGAACGCAACTGACGAGCTCTGCCAAGTTTCCCGAGTTTGCACTCCGCTTCTATTCACTTCTGTCTTGAGTCGCTTCTTCTCAGTATGACGCATAGCAGGCCTTTATGAATCATCGATTTGGCCACAGACCTTGCTGAACCTTCGCTGCGTATCCATTATTTCCTCCTTCCTTATAGCTTTTACAGCTTTACCTATAGCTAACTACCTTTACTCTTCAACTGTTTCTGCCACCTGTCTTTTTTTAACTCTCACCTGCTAGTTTCTGTCAAGACGGAATTACCAGCTCAGACTCTCTCACCTTCAAGATGGACACTCCCGGATTCAGAGAGAATGAAAAATTGAACAGCGATCTCGATGATGGCAGAATATCACCAGTGGACCTGCACTGCAAGAACGATCAAGAGCGAGACAGTGATATCATTGTGAACTACCAGAAGATCTGCCAGGCAGTCGAGACATGGATCGAAGATGCGATGCAGGATGAAGTCGACTACTTCCATGGTATCTACTGCCCCAACCTCGCCCAGGAATTGGAGACCCATCGGCTGAGTGAGCTGGACCTTGGCCCGGGGGCGTCAGACTGGAGACTGCAAGAGTTGAAGACCGTGGAAACGGCCCACTACTTTATCCTGTCGCTTGTAATCTGGCGTCGTCTCTTCGATATTTTGCAACGCCCGTATCCCCTTGGCGTGACGAAAGATGAGCTCTCAGAACTCAATGTTATTAAAACCAGCAATGAGCGTATGAGTCCTCTTTCCGCCATCTTGCCTTCTCTTGCCACTGACTAATATGGTCGGCAGCACCAGTAGAGTTCACGGGGAGATATTCGACAGGGTCACCAGGATCTGCGCCTGTTACGGCTTCGAAAAGCATCAGGAAAAGGATCTTGATGTCGAATTCGATTTACTTCTGTGCGACCTGTCATACTGGTTCAGAAACCGTGACACGCTTTCAAAACTCAGGGATCGCCTGCGACAGCAGGTCTTATATCCTGCCGTTCAGCTCCATCACGACATCCGGGTTTCCTTTCGACAATACAAGATTTCGTACGAGACTGAGGATGATAAATGGACTTTCAAGAATCTGGCGAGGTGGGAAACAGTAACGGACAACGATGCCAGACATTTCTTCCACTGTCTCTACCCTGATATCACAAAACTGCCTGTGTACAATGGAGAAAGGCCCTTGCAGCTGGTCAAGCCGATGATGGTTGTCCACACGGAGCCCATACCTTGGGAATAGGCCCCAGTGCCAGCTCACTCTTCATTAAGTACGGCCATGTACCTAGAGACAATGCCGTCGAGCAGCGGACGATAATCTCATGGCTCACCTCCGCTGAGATGAGCTGAAAACCTCGTGGTAATAACGAGGGTCTGTGTCTGTTAGACATGTCAGAGTCACATATTTCTTAACCAAAAGTCATCTTTTCTTTTCTTTTCTTTTCTTTTCCTTTCTTTTCCTTTTTCTTTTTCTTCTTATTTTTATTCTTATTTTTATTAGGCTTTTTTTTTCAAATATAATAGTAATCTCATCTCCTACGATAATTTCAGAATTCATAGAGAATTCACAAAAAGCTCCGGTAGCGTGATTATGTGATTCGGACAGTTTTGTGGAAATATAAAAATTTGTAGAAACACCCTTCTGCAGCATAAAAGTCAAACTATTGAAGAACATGGGATTACAATTAGGAAAGAGAAATGATTAGAAGAGATGGTCATCTTATTTAGTTATTCATTTTCTTCTTCGCAAAATAAAATGGTTGTGTCTTCATAAATAGTTATTCACAAATATAAATAAGGTTGTAGGACATTGATAAGCTTTCGCATATGACAGAACTCAAAACTGCAGATCTTAAATCGTGAGAATTCAGCAATTCGCCAGCTTGAAGACAGTCCACGATTTAGTGCGACGTAACATTCAACTGTGCAGACAGCAGACCACTAGCACTACTGACTACAACCTCCCGCCACGACATTCCTTCCCATTTTTATGTTTTATGCGGTGCTCATTCGCCGATCCATCGCGTCGGATCTTTTCGTTGCAGCCGCATTTTGCAGACCGCCATGCAAGGGCTTCTAAGCGAGGATATAATTAGAGGCCAACGTGTTAGTTCCAGGCGTGATTGGCGGCTTAACCAACAGGACGATCACTCCGCCAACGATTAATAATGGACGATAACCAGGGTGTGGGATTATAAGAAATGCGGGAGGAGTGGCAGTAGATAATATTCTCTATTGTATTCTTGTCTCTATTGGTTTATTTCTGTATATTTTTTATTGGTAGATTCTATATATTCATGGTGTATCCCAATGGGCCTCTTCTTCCAAGAAGCAGTCCCCCAGAACCCCCCCTCCACCAACCTCGGCGGCAAAACAATCATCATCACCGGCGCCAATAGCGGTCTCGGTCTCGAGGCCGCCCGTCAGTTCCTCCAGTTCAATGCCTCCCGGGTGATCCTCGCCGTGCGGTCCATCGCCAAAGGAGAGGCCGCCGCGGCGCAGATCCAGCTTGCCAACCCCGATGCCGAGGTCAAGGTCATGAAGCTCGACCTCGACAGCTACGACAGTGTCGTGGCCTTCGCCAACCAGGTCAAGCAGGAGCTGACCGACATGCATGCCCTCGTGCTCAACGCTGGCATGAATCAGTATGTCTACGAGACCAGTCCGACCGGCCACGAGCGGTTGTTGCAGGTCAACTTTTTGTCTCATGCAGTCCTAGCCTTGCAATTGCTTCCGTTGCTGCAGAGGACTGCGTCTAAAGAAGGCTCGCCCACGCGACTCAGTCTGGTGTCCAGCTTCAGCCACCGGAAGCATTCGATGACGAGGAACCCCGTGGGCCGCGACGAGTCGATCATCCAGCACTTCGACAACCCGGCCAACTTTGTCCGTCAAGTGCGGTACAGTGACACGAAGCTGCTGATGAACGCATTTGTGGCCGAGCTGGCGAGACGGCTGCCGTTAGGAGGCTCGAAGACGGACCCCCCCGTCATCATCAACTGTCTCTGTCCGGGGTTCGTCTGGACCGACTTCAACCACCGCCTCCCGTGGTATATCAGATGGCCAGCCATACTGCTGGAGATGCTGTTTGCGCGAAGCGCCGAAGTCGGTGCGAGGACGATTGTCCACGCTGCGGCGGTGGCGTCCGAAGAATCGCACGGCAAGTTCATGGAGTCCAGCCATATAGCTGAGTAAGTGTAGTTTCCTTACAGTGAGTTAGCCAAACTAACGACGCAGAATGGATCCTTTCCTCCAAAGCCCGGCCGGAAAGGAGTTTGAGGAGAAACTGTTCAAGGAGGTCCTTGAAGAAGCTCGGAAGGTGGACAGTTCTGGGGTGACATTATTCTCTTGACCAGAGTCGATGGCAAGCAAAAACTGTACATGACGAAACCTGTTACTTTATATTTTCTTTTCCTTGACAGATTGTCATGCCCTACTCATAAAGCGAGATATTCGATACCGCATACGATTCTGATTAGAGAGGTAGAGTCCGTCTGATCCAGTTTTCTGGAAAGATAAGATCTGGATTTCTTTCTCTCTAATTGCATATATTGGATAGACATGTTTAGTCAATTGTGATAATAATATTGATGCGGACATTGACTTCATAAAGCTATATTCAGTTAGCACTTTCTGTTTTGCACAGAACAAGTCACAGAGGATAGAAGTGATTGAGCAAAGCATTCTACACATATGTAGGAGCTTCTCATACTCCCATATCTACAGGTCTGGTCGTTCAGAGCATGGTTCCTATCTCTAAACGATTTCACTGTGCAACAAATATCGGTATGGGATGTGACACGACATCGACAGTCCCCTGCTATCAGTTCTGCATCTCTACTACAGACATGTGGTAAAGATATCCCCTGGCATTCTAGCCCATCTCAATCCATTCACATGCTTTAGCGAGGAGCTGCATGGCAGCAGGAGAGGGCTTTATAGTATACTTGGTAATCATCAGGAAATTGTTATGAACATTAATAGAAATATCGTAGTAATACTAACACTATCCTCTGTTAAATTGTCATGCTCTTGAAATAGGTGGAGTCTCAATCGACCGGAATTGCGATTTCGGAAATCATTGCGAAGTCGCACGGAGACCAGCACAAGCACACAGAGCGCAAATCTTGACCACGAACACCATTCTGCAGCTGTCCAATAGGTATAGTAGATTACCTGTTCAGTGACTATTTACCTCTGCTGGGGTATGGTTGTACGCGTATTACATGCAATCTCCCTAATCCACTCCTGGACCGATGCGGGGATATTAACTCTCTTATATACCACCAGTTTTATTCAGTTTGGAATCTTGAGTATTCACTTTTCTTCTCAATTTAGATATTTCTCTATTTCTATCCGAAATAAACCAGACAATGGACCCCTCTTCCCACGAATTGATACCCATACAGCCAGAGAACAGGAAGAAAAACTCCGTCATGGCAGAAACAGAGACTGTCGAGAATGTCGATAACAAAACAGATAACGACGGTCTCGCCTCGCACAAGAAGCGACCGAAAAGCAGCGACGAAAGAAAAGAAGAGCGTCGATTTCTGAGGAAAATCGACCTAACGATTCTGCCTCTCCTGGGCATTGTGTATTTCCTTGCGTCGATGGCAAGTCCTATACCTTACCCCGAATACGGAGTACACAGTAAAGAATCTATTTCTAATGACGAGACTTCAGGACCGTGGCGACATCAGCAATGCCGCTGTTGCTGGCATGACCTCCGACTTGGGTCTATCTCCGCAGATGCTCTCCCATTGCGTCGCATTGTTCTACGTGGGATACATCCTCTTCATGTTCCCGGCCGCGATCTTCATGCGCAAAATCACTCCGCCGCGACAGCTCGCCTTGGCTCTGATGTCTTGGGGCACTTTTACCGCTTTGTAGGTAGCTCAGGCTGTTGTCGCTTGCTGATACCTCGTTAATGCTTTTGTTTCTTTGAAAGGATTTCGACCGCAAAATCGTATGGCACCGTCGTTGGATTGCGTATCCTCGTTGGCACTGCTGAGGCCTTCGTCAACGCTGCACCCTTGTACCTCTCCCTGTGGTACAAGCGCGATGAGCTCGCTACGCGCGGTGCAGTGTTCTTCTCCATGGCTGCTGTGGCAGGCAGCTTCAACGGGGTGATTGCGTATGCTATTCAGCATAATCTAGACGGGGTTCGGGGCCTCGCGGCGTGGCGGTGGATCTTCTTGATCGAGGGTAGGAGTTGCGAATACAATGCAGGTATAAGTGTCATGATCAGCAGGCTGATTTCTTCAGGCGTGGTGTCAGCATCATATGGCTTCGTGGTCTTATTCTTGCTGCCTCCGGTCCCAGAGAGGATCAAATGGGGATTCAACGAGCGAGAGAAGGAGATTGCCAGACGGCGCACGGTGGAAGCGTACAATGTCGAAGACGCGGCTGTCAATTTCAAGCACTTGCTGGTGCTGGCTAAGGATTCGAAGCTTTATTTCAGCGGTGAGCACGGCAGATTTCTCTCCTCAGGAAGTATCCCCGCTAACCTCGTGGTATTCCAAGTTGTCATCTACTGCTGCCTGAACGTCAGCTTGGCAGCGTTTAGCAGCTTCTTGCCTGTCGTCATCAAATCGTTCGGTTTTTCGACACTACGTACACAAATCCTGACGATTCCGGTCTTTGTCTGCGCCGCTGCGGCTCTCCTTCTCTTCGGGTCTCTCTCCGATCACTTCAAGAAACGGGGAATCTTCCTCATCACGGTCTTTGGGATTGCTGCCCTGGGGTATCTTCTCCTCCTGGCGGGCAACAGCTCGAGATGGCTGTCTTTCGCGGCCACTTTCCTCGTCGGCATTGGGACGTATCCCTGTGTCGTTATCACCCTGGCGTGGGTGAACAGTAATTTCATCGGGTATACGAGAAGGTGAGTCAGTCGTTCTGCCTGGATTGATCAAGATCTAAAAAATTTATCAGAGCAGGCTGTTTGGCAGCATTGAACATGTTCGGACAGTGTTTTGCCATCCTCGGCGCGGAGATCTACAGCGATCCTCCACATTACTACCGAGGCAACGGCTTTGCGTTGGGCGCGATGGTACTGGGAATCATCACCACTCTGCTCTTTCGATTCTATCTGCGTCGAAGGAATCTTCGGAAGGCGAGGGACCAGCACACTGAAGCAGCGCAGCGGATGAGAGTTCTGGGTGTGGAAGAAGTCGGTGACGATCATCCTGATTTCTTCTACTATTTGTAGAACCATCTCGCAGAAGTATGCAGTAAGTTGATTCAATGGATCTGTTAGTAGCAGATAACCCAGTATTTATATTTCTGTTGTCCCGTCAAACTAGTTATTAAAAGTGCATCCCCTGTGACTGAACTTTGAATAGGCCAGTTCAGCATGTCAGATGTTAGATCGAGCTATTCGAGCCAGAGAATCAGACTGCTGAATAAGAATGATGACATGATCTCTCTCACCAGACGAACACTGACTTTCTCCCTCGTTCCAGTTACTCCATGGTTCTATCACTAATCAATAATTGCATGACGAAACTTAAAATCGCGATTGGTAATAAGCCTTTTGGGAATTCACATGCGGAGTAATTTGTCATCAGCTGTCGTAACCCTGACCGCATAAACAAATCCATGAACATGTACATACATACAACATCAATACCCAAAGACGATTTCGTTCCCCTTATCTTCTGCAGTCAAATATCCTCGATTCATCGCCAGCATGCCAACCTACGTCTGCACCGTCGCAGCCGGGCGCCTATCCCCCGAACACAAAAAAGCGATCGCCAACATCCTGACAACCGTCCACTCCGAGGAAGCACATACACCCCGGCTAGTCGTGCAGGTCATCTTCAACGAACTACCAGGCAAGAACAAGAACAACTACTTCATCAACGAGGTCCCCGTCTCGGCGGACCAGGTCTGGATCCGCGGCGACATCCGTGTTCGGAGGACGGACGAGCAGAAGACGAGGATGGTCCGAAGGATTGTGGATCTGGCGAGCCAGGCGTGTGGGATTGATAGGACGCATTTCTGGGTGTATTTGTGTGATATTGCCAAGATGGCGGAGTTTGGGAGCGTGATGCCTGATGGTGGCGATACCCAGGCTGAAGAGGCTTGGCTGAAGGCGCTGCCGGAGGAGGTGAAGGAGCGATATCACTTTAATGATAAGGCATGATTGATGGAGCAGGTCAAAGCGGGATGGTTGAGATAGGCGGACATGGAGGGGAGAGGCCTACGCCTAATATGTGATCATCTATTAATATGTGATCATCTATCTAGGTGTTTGTTATTGCAGTGTCTCGACTGTTCTATAAAGTGCTACTAATGGAAGCAAAGAAACGAGATCATATACAAGCAGATATGAACCATATTCTGTAAAAGATACAAATATAAAACACGTTCCACTGGACGGGAGCAGAAGTCATACAACAGCTCTAGATACTATCTCCATCTTCTTGTACTTCTCTTAAAAGGCGACCGATTAGGCCATCTCTGTCGATTCCCCAAGCTCATCCTCACCAGGAACCTCACTATAAGCCTGATTTTGAAACTGCCGAAAGACCCTGAGCACAAACGTCGCAAACCCGACAAGCACACCAGCCAAGATGACCAGAAGAGTGAACGCCCCGACAGGAGCGAGAACATTCTCACTCATCCAGTCCGCACTCTTGCTGTCGGACTCGACACCGTCAACGTCCACAGCCGGGTCGTCCGGCACCGGGAGCTGGTTGAATCCTGCCGCAAACCAGTCTTCCGGAACGCTTGTTCGCACGACGTCTGACGTGCCGAGGATATTCCCCTCTGCGTCCACGGCGTCTGCAGAGATCCAGTCCATGTACCCGTCGGCGATGAACATGGTCTCAAAGCCCGACCTGGCTGCCGATCCGATGAAGACAGACGGCCCCGTAGCGTCGGCCTTTGCGTAGAAATTCCACGAAGCCACCTCCGTCGCCCCGTTCCAGCTCACGTAGACAATGGTCGTGAGATCAGAACTCGTCGAGCCGTAGACGGCCGCCTTGACGACAGGAGGCTCCACGGGCCGGCCGACAAAGTGGAATTTATACGCCCGGTACGTCGAGAACCGGTCTGAGACGAAGCGCGCCTCCATCACGCACGTCCCGTTGGGCGTAAACTCGCTGTGGTAGCCCTGCTGGCTCCATCCGACGAAGATATTCCCGTTCGATAACAGCTGGACATCCCCTCGAAGCCGCGTCAGACCGCCGTCCGGACGCTCGTATCGTCGGATGACGCTTGCGGTCATGGGCCGCGAAGCCGTGTCCAAGGCGACGAAAAGCGCCGCAGAGACGTCCTCTCGTTGGCTTCCCTCGTCAGAGGCATTGTTCAGAAACGAGATGATCGTATGGGTGCTGTTCGACTCGACGAACCGCGCATGGTGCTGTCGATAGAAGCTGAAGTCCTGCAACACAAAGTCTGATCGCTTGCCTCCAAGCCGCCAGATGATGTGTCCGTCTTTTCCGGAGATCAGATATATGGTGTTTGTGAATCGCGCGGAGAGGAGGTAGTCGCCCTCGGCGTTTTTGTCGACTGAGTTGACATGACTGTTCCGTCAGTTCTTGCTGAAAAGATCTCAGATCGAGCAACTCACATATAATCCCAACCAGAACCAGCCTGCTCTGGTGTAGCCGGCGTCGCAAAGTCGCTCTCCGACAAGGAGACGTGATCGGACGATTTCCACTCGAAAATGATGTTTCCGGTCGCGACGTCGATTTCCTCGAATCCGCCCACGATGACTCTCCCGGACTGTCCAGGCATCCCCAGATCGGCAAAGTCGAGGACCTCGGTCCGATACGTGCAGGCCAGAGCGGTCTTCCCGCCATGCAGGATGTTGAACTCGTGCATGTTGAACGCGTCGAGGTCGTTGGTGACGGGGACGACGGTTTCGTGCTCGTAGGTCTCGCTGAGGATCAGCCCGGCGCCTTTTTTTGCATGTCGTTGTAGGCGTGCTGCACGATGAAGGAGAGGTGCAGGTTTTCGTCGATGTTGTCGGCGACTTTGAAGTCGAAGATGTTGCGGTTGTCGAAGAGGCATGCACCGGACCAGACGAGGGACTGTAATGCAGATCTCGTAAGACTTCTTTTCGTGTTTAACAGAGGAAAAGAAGATATACCCCCTCAGCGTCATAAATATGCGGCCCAACCTGACAAGGCGACCACTTCTTGGACGGCGCCTCAGGGTCGATAACCGCATACGGCGCGACAAACCAGTAGCCGGGGCTGACTTTGTCTTTATCATAGACCTTGACGTCGAACTTGGGAGGTTTGATTTCGGGGCGCTGTCGAATCATGCATTTAGCAGGGGAATGACATCTTTTGAGAAATTTGTTAACTGACTGTAACAAAAGACATCAAGTCGTCGCTCGAGACCGGCTCGATTATGGCGAGGCTGAGGGTGAGAAATAGAGATATACATAGAAGAATCGACTGATAAAGGAATGACGGCATGATTAGATTGCTTGTGGGAAAAAAAAAGAAATCAACGACAAGAATATCGAAATAGTGTAGCTATATGGATAGAGAAGTAGAGATTCAAAATATTCCACAGAAATGCACTTTGGCATTTTGGCGACAGCGCATTGACCAGACAGCCGGCTGTCCTGGTCAGCGACAGTTTCTTCCATTAGTCCGCCTGCATCCGATGGGCCTTCAGTCTGTACAGTCTAGTTTAGGGCTCGCGAGGACAGTTCCTAACGAGCAGCCATCGAAGCCGCGTGTACGCCGTCTTGGCACATCCACTCCAGGGGCAAGCTGACGCCATCCGCACCGCTGCTTGCGTAGACAACCTAATTTTGACCTCGCGAGCATCTAATCTTATCTCGTGGCTGTGTTTGGTATGTAGTATGTAGTGTCTGAGGTTCAATCCTTGAAGTGCGTTGTGAAGACTAAGAAAGATGGAGTGTCAGGAGTTGAAGGATAGAAGATTCCGCAAGTGCAATCTGTCGATTTACGTTATGCAAAATTTGGTGCAGTCTTGGCACCCCAAAACCTCAAAAAATTGCAACTTTTGTATCGGAAGCCCTCCAAACCACCAAAATACTGATTTTTCTCACCAAATCCCATCGATTTTTTACTGAATTTGTCATATCTGAGGTTCTTCTGACTTTCTAATTAGGAAATTATAGCCTATGTCTGTGCCGATATCGAGATTACCCCCGTATCGCAGAAAAAATGGCATCCGAGGCGACCAACTCTCCAGAATCCTCT